ATTGAACTGATTATAGATAAATATTCTATAATTTAAATATTGAAATTTAGTCCCAATATTTACATTGTCGGTCTAGCTATATAGTTTTTGTTCAAACTGTAATGATATTCTACATTATGATAATACTAAAACTACTAGTAGAAGTTGTTGAACTTAACATTAGAGGTTTATGTTTTTCCTCCAATTTATCTTAACTTTAATGCATTTTTTCTTATTCATAAACTTACCTGTGTGCCATATTTTACCGAATCTTGTTACTGTATAGCAGATATACAGTATACAGAGTTCAATATTTTATAATACGGTTGTAAAGATGAACTTGTAGGCATACCCACCGTGAGCCTGCATTTATAGTCGACCGATATTTGAATACTTATGGATTCTGGTGGTGATCCCACTTTCCTAATTAACTTTAGTGACACTATTTTAGATAAGAAATAAAAAAATTACTTGTGTTAAACAATTGTGCATAATTTACATGAATTTTCTTTACCTTTTTTGGAGAAAAAGAGTTTAAATCAGCTACCTGTATAAAATATGATAATATACTAAATATATATATCTATATTCAATATTATATATATATATATATATATATATATATATATATATATATATATATATATATATATATATATATATATATATTCAGGTTAAAGGGTCATATTATAAGTATTCATCGAAAAAATTTCTTACGACACGTTTATATACTTTCATGATTTGTCAAGCATTTAATATCATCAATAAGTACCTTTCAAGATTTAATCTTGTTTTTATGCTCAAAACTTGACTAATTATATTACTGTAAATCACTTTATATTCGCGTGATCTTTATATTCGCGTGATCTTTATTTCGCGGGAACCCCACCCCTGGATTATTTCGCGAACTCATGAATTCGCGATGGCAGGGTCAGAATTTTATATTCGCGATTATTTGAATTTTATTTCCGCAAAAAAACAGGGTATGTTGAAGTTAATTCCTATACTGTGTCGCTCTTATGCAAGGTAATTAATGTTAATGGTGTTAATAAGAGACAATTTTTATTTATTTATTTTAAATACAAAATGTACATACATGTAATTGACTTAATATGAACAGTTTTTCTAATCATTTGTCAAATTTGTTTTGTTTGCAAATACCGTGTTTGATAAAACGTTAAATGTTTGTAAGTAGGTGTTATATACTTGTTTATAATACTTAATCTACCGTATAAAAATTGTCCGTTGATCACTGTTTTACCGTAAATCTATTGTCATCTAAACAATATGTGTTCACATTTGTCTGTAAAGTGCAAAATTTGTGGATATTATCTTTTTGTTTTTACATGCATGTATTCATGAGGAAAAAGGAAAGGGAAAAATCTTTAACTTTCATATCTTTATTATGATGTAAATAAAACATTGCACATATCAATTATTTGCATTCAGTTATTCTATACATTATAAAACTTATTCACAATTCGAAAAAAATTGTCATCAGATTTATTTTTTATAATGTATGTTGTTATAAAATTTACGCGGCATCATGAATTCGCGACGAGACCGATTCGCGAATAATAGCGAAAGTAAAAACATCGCGAAAAATACCGGATTTACAGTACTTTAAAGTAGTGAAGGAAGGCAATTTGAAAAATTATTCATTGATGCATTTTAGTTTTGCGATTATTAAGCTTCTCTCCTACACAAAACGGGTCTAAAACATAAACAAATTTGTTCACAGTTATTAAATTTGCATAGAAGTAAAATTTGCAGCTTAGTATCCATGTGATAACTGTGACCTTACAGTAATGTTTCACTTGACACACATAAAAACACAACTATTATCATACCCCTGAACATATTGCTAGTACGACAGCTTGATGCAGATAGATTTTTTTTTATTATTATTACTACATTGTATATAAATGTCAGTTTTAAACTGGATTTACCAAGATATGTCCTTTTTTGTCTTTTTTTGATAGACATAATTTTCCATGATATACTGTGCAGCAATCCATTGCAGGATATAGCCAACTTACCAAGCACACAATTGTTCTACCCGTAAGCAACTGATCTACTTGCAACCAGTTAACAGGGGTGCTTATAATTGAAGTCAATATCATTGCAAGGGTTTAGAACTACAACAGGATAAATATTGCAAATACTTTTTTTTAGAAGTTTTTTTGTCGGATAAGACATGTATAAATCATCTTGTTTCATATAAATGTTCAAGCCTGCGGTGAAATGTTATCTTTTGATGACATTTTACTTTTTAAAAAAGCCCAAACTCAGTATAGAAGCTTTAATTAACTGTCATGCTGAAATACTTACTGATCAAGGGAGCTAACTGCTGCAGACAGTTTATTTATATTCTCTCAATAAACAATGGGTTTGTAGATGATGGAATCAGTTATAAGTTTATATTAAGTTCTGTAGTATTTTCCCATTAAATGCACTCACAATTATGTTCTTAGTATTTCTTCTCATTAATTTTAAGCATTTGCTATAGAACTTTACACATATTTTGTAGAAAATAAAATAGTTAGGATTTTCTGAAATTGCAGTATAAACAATGCAGTTACACACAATAATATGCATGGATATTTAAGTTTTTGGGCCTCTAATATATATTGCCTTTCAAGCTCCCAAATCAGAACAAATAGGATATAAATATTTTAATGATAAAAAATCCCAGTACTCTAGATGGGATTTTGTGTGAGTTAATAGTTTCCACTACAACTTATTTTAGCTTATTAGTTTTCCACTTATTTAAGTTTTTTGTTGTTAATTAGTTAGTTTTCTCAAAAATTCAAAAAGTTGCATATCCTGAGCACTGCATCCTGCTAGCTTACTAATTTTATTTTGGTTCTCAAAATTAAATTGTGAAATAGAAGTGAGTTACATTTATTGTTACTTTATATTCTATTAGCACTGTACAGTGACATTATGCCTATCCACATGTAAATGGTCATTACTTTATATTCTGTTAGCAGTGACATTATGCCCATCCACATGTAAATAGTCAGTGAACAGGTATGAAGAAATAACTTAATGTTTTTCCATAATTGTGTTTAATTCTTTATTTTTGATATGAAAAAATAATTTAAATATTCCATGACTTGTGTCCAACAGAGATTCGGTCTCAATTCTTAAAAAGAGTTGGGCACAGTCTTATTGTAATTTAGGAAGTTTTTATATTAAATCATAAACAATTGTTTCAATATAGATTATTGGCCAATCACCATTATGATTTCCATTCCTTTAAAATATGTTACTAATTTAACTCGCTTGACTGTTATAATGTCACCTTAATTTTGCAGTTCATTTGCAGCATGCTTATTTCTGTATATTTACTTGTTTATGTTTTATAATAAACAAAATTCAGTTCAGTGGCATTCTTCATTTCAGTGAAAAAAAGTTTCTATTTTCCCAGCATTGATTAATTTAAATTTTAATTTAATTTTGCAGTTGGTTTGGCTTATATTACCAAGATTGATCTAATTTCATAAAAAGGAAAAAAAGGAAAAAAGCCCAGTTTGGCACACCAGAACCAATTTAAAGTTGAAAAAAGAAAGCCGCTTATGATTTTTTGTTTGTTTGTTTTAGCATTTAAAGTGAATTGGTCTGGAATACAATATATTATAATTTTGATAGTATTGTGTATCAATCACTTAAGAACTTTATAATACTAACATATGGATGTGTTGACATTGTGAGACACATGTTACGATATAACATATATTTATATAGCAGATTATAAAATGTTCTGTAACAAATTATTTTTTTTGATCATACAAATGTACATAATAAATCACTAAAAACATTTATTTATCAACTTTCTTACAAGTAGTACTTAAAAGAATAGCCATTTCTATTGTTTTTATCTGAATATTTGAAATTCTAATAGAAAATGTGCCTATTGCAGACCAATCCACTTTAATGCTATTTTGTATTATATATAGTGTATTATTAGCTCACCTGAGCATATGCTCAGGGTGAGCTATTAGGATCAGTCTTCGTCTGTCGTCCGTCGTCCGTTGTCAGTTCACACTTTTAAAACAACATCTCCTCTGAAACCATAAGGCAGATCATAATGAAACTTCACAGGGATGTTCCTTGTATGAAGCCTTAACAAAGTTGTTCAAAGAATTCCATTCCATGCAGAACTCTGGTTGCCATGGCAACCGAAAGAAAAAACTTTATATATCTTCTTTTAAAAAACCCTTAGAGCTAGAGCTAGTTATTTGGCATGAAACATCTTCTAGTGAGTGTCTACCAAGTTTGTTCAAATAAAATCCCTGGGGTCAAAATTTGCCCTGCCCCAGGGGGTCATTGATTTTCCCTATATGCATATAGTAAAAACTTTAAAAATCTTCTTTTAAAGAACTCAAAGAGCTAGAGCTAAGATATTAAGCATGAAACATTTTCTAATAGGTGTCTACCAAGTTTGTTCAAATGAAAGCCCTGGGGTCAAAATTTGCCCCGCCCCGGGGGTCATTGATTTTCCTTATATATGTTTTTAGCAAAAACTTAATAAATCTTCTTTGAAAAAACCAAAATAGCTAGAGTTTAGATATTAAGCATGAAACATCTTCTAGTGAGTGTCTACAAAGTTTGTTCAAATAAAAGCCCTGGGGTCAAAATTGGCCCTGCCCCGGGGGGGGGGGGGGTCATTGATTTTCCCTATATGCATATAGTAAAAACTTTAAAAATCTTCTTTGAAAAAACCAAAATAGCTAGAGTTTAGATATTAAGCATGAAACATCTTCTAGTAAGTGTCTACAAAGTTTGTTCAAATAAAAGCCCTGGGGTCAAAACTGGCCCCGCCCCAGGGGTGTCATTGTTTTTAACTATATGTGTATAGTAAAAACTTAAAAATCTTCTTTTAAAAAACCCAATGAGCTAGAGCCCTGGGGTTTAAACTGGCCCCGCTCCAGGGGCCTATATACAGGTGAGCGACCTCAGGGCCATCATGGCCCTCTTGTTTTTGTTGTTTCATTTAGAAGATTATCCTTTTACAGGTACCCTCTTGTCCGCAGGGGATGTCCTTGCCCAATTAGTGGTTGAGAAAAGGCCCCTTGAAATGTACAATGTAAAGAGAACAATTAGATTTGCTATATTTGGTACCTTTTTTGGCGTAAGTACTGGTTAACGGTGAAAACCCTCAGGATTAAGGGAATTTTATTTTTTAAGGGTTCATTGAAACACTTTCTAACTTATTAAACCTAAAGAAATAGTAATTATAATAGGTTAATGAACCTAAAGAAATAATGGTTATTATAGTTTAATGAACCTAAAGAATAGTAATTATTGTAGCTAATTGAACCTAAAGAATTAGTAATTATTATAGCTTACTGAACCTAAAGAAATAGTAATTAATTATAGTTTAATGAACCTATAGAAATAGTAATTGCTATAGCTTACTGAACCTAAAGAATAGCAACTATTATAGCTTAATGAACCTAAAGAAATAGTTATAATTACAACTTAATGAACCTGAAGAAATAGTAATTATTGTAGCTAGTTGAACCTAAAGAATTAGTTATTATTATAGCATAATGAACTCTAAGTTAGAAGAAATAGTTATTAGTAATTAAATATAGCTTAATAAACCTAAAGAAATAGTAATTAATATGATCTTAGCCAAATGAATCTAAAGAAATAGTAATTATTATAACTGAATGGACATTAAGAAATAGTAATTATTATAGCTTAATAAACCTAAATGTAAATTTAATTTAGAAAGAAAAGCCATCTGCTGTAACCCTTATTAAAGCTGTTTATATGGAATTTATGTGTTTATGGAATAGGTATCCCCTTGCATGATGATGTGTGGAATAGGTTTCCCCTTGATGATGATAGGAAAATACTTTTTTCTTGTAATTACTGTTCTGTATGTTTTGTAATAAATTTAATATATTTTGGTGTTTTGTATATTTTGTAAGAAATTTTTGTGTCGCCTTGAAAAGGTGACATATAGGGGTTACTTTTGTCGGCGGCATCTGCGTCGTTGTCGGCGTCCCCTAAAGCTTGTCCGGAGCATAACTCAGTCACTATAAGTCTGATTGACTTCAAACTTGGTATGCATGCTTCTTTCAATAACCCGAAGTGCAGTGCACAAGGACCGGTACTCTGCAGTTCTTATTTTTTGAGTTATTGCCCTTTGTTAATTTTCATACTTTAATTTTGTCCGGGCCATTTCTCTTCAACTAAAAAAGCTATGGACTTGAAACTTCATAGGATGATAGATCTCATTAAAAAGAAGTGCAGTGCACAAGAACCGGTACTCTGCACTTCCTAATTTTTGAGTTATTGCCCTTTGTTAATTTTCATACTTTATTTTTGTCCGGGCCATTTCTCCTAATGTATAAAAGCCATGGACTTGAAACTTCATAGGATGATAGGTCTCATTAAGAAGAAGTGCAATGCACAAGAACAGGTACTCTGCATTTCTTATTTTTTGAGTTATTGCCCTTTGTTTATTTTCATATCCTAATTTTGTCCGGGCCATTTTTCCTTAAGTATAAAAGCTATGGACTTGAAACTTCATAGGATGATAGATCTCATTAAGAAGAAGTGCAGTGCACAAGAATCGGTACTCTGCATTTCTTAATTTTTGAGTTATGGCCCTTTGTTAATTTTCATACTTAATTTTTTGTCCAGGCCATTTCTCCGAAAGTATAAAAGTTATAGACTTGAAACTTCATAGGATGATAGATCTCATTAAGAAAAAGTGCAGTGCATAAGAACTGATACTCTGCATTTCTTATTTTTTGAGTTATTGCCCTTTGTTGATTTTCTTACTTTATTTTTGTCCTGGTCATTTCTCCTCAAGTATGAAAGCTATGGACTTGAAACATCATAGAATGATAGATCTTATTGATAAGAAGTGCAGTGCACAGAAACTGCTGCTCTGCACTTATTATTTTTTTAGTTATTGCCCTTTCTTATTTTTCATATTTCATTTTTGTCCTGGCCATTTCTCCTAAACTACATTGTTCACAAGGCGACACATCCGACTCGCGGAGTTCTAGTTACTATTAAAAATTAAACATTAGCAACAGAATTTTCTATATATATTGTTCAAAATATATTAGTTATACTCTCAATTCTTAAAAAGTGTGGGGTAGTCTATTCTATAATTTAGATAGTTTTATATTGTATAATACACATTTTTTCAATTAACAATATTTCTAAATCACCATTATAATTATTATATAATATAATATATTACTAATTGACAGTAAAAAAAATGAGAAATATATTAAATAGTTACTCTCAATTCTTAAAAAGTGTGGGGTAGTGACTATTCTATTATTTAGCTAGTTTTATATTGTATAATACACATTTTTTCAATTAACAATATTTCTAAATCACCATTATAATTATAATATAATATAATATATTACTAATTGACAGTAAAAAAAATGAGAAATATATTAAATAGTTACTCTCAATTCTTAAAAAGTGTGGGGTAGTGACTATTCTATTATTTAGCTAGTTTTATATTGTATAATACACATTTTTTCAATTAACAATATTTCTAAATCACCATTATAATTATAATATAATATAATATATTACTTATTGACAGTAAAAAAAATGAGCATAATGTCATTTTAGCATGAACGTAAGACACACACAAAGTTGAGATTTGTACACACATGGCAGTTGTCAATTTAGATATTATTAAAAAGAATATAATAAATTCTTGTAATTTGAGTAATAAATTTACATGGATATGATGAACTTTTGTTGTTTTTTGGCATTTGACAAAAATGCAAATTCAAAACTTGGTATTCTGTAACATTCATTTTGCATTTTGTTTAAATTAAACTACATCTGATACTTCACAAAGTTTTCAAGTGTACATTATTACTAATATAAATATTTCTGTTAAAAAGCTTTGAAAATAATTTTAGTTAAGATTTTACCATATCGCCATATCATTGCACCTCTAAATTGGTAACATAACTGTCAAAATGGCATGACATTAGCATGTAAAAAGCAATTGACACAAGCAGTTTCTAACTTTATTTAAAAAAAATATCAAAATTAACAATGAAACATGGGAAAACTGAATTAGACACGTATTTTTATGCCAGAACTGCACCTTTTTTGGTTCATCAATATCTGCAACCCCCCCCCCCCTTCCCGCCTGACCTATCTTATAATAGTAACATAATCACTCACCTATGGGCTGTGGCTTTAAAAACATCATCTTCTGCAGATGTTTATTGCATGAAACAAGGTGCATTAAAACCAACAAATTAAAAGTACTGTTGATAGTTAAATTTTTGTATTTTGATGATTGAAATCTATTAAACTTCAAATGAGCTGCGCCATAACAAAACTAACATAGTGAGTCCATGGATCCATGCTGTTCACTATCAGTTTCTCTACTTGTAATAGGGTTTGTAAGTGAACAGCGTGGATCCTGATCAGACTTCGTGGATGCGCAGGCTGGTCTGGATCCATGCTGATCGCAAACGCACTATGTTGGTTTTGTCATGGTTTGGCTCAAATGGTAACTGTTCAAATCAAAGCAATGTAAATCCACAGGAATGAAACAGAATACTTACTCAAACAACAACTGGTGAGCGTATCACTATCATTCTGTAAAATTTGCGAACCTTTTTACAAAAATTTCGACTTTCACAAAACATAAAATTACTTAAGTTGGGTTTCACTAAACAGAACATGCAATATGCACCAGTAGTAAGTGAGCGTAACTTTAAGTTTGAATTTACACAAATATGTAGCTAACAACGTTTAGTGAAATGCAAATAAATACGTAAGTTCTGCTTACACAAAAAGTTAAGATCAAGGATGTGTTACAATAACGCAAGTTTGTTAGTGAAACGCACTCCTGGTATTTAAGCCTGCCATACTGTAGAAAATGCATTGTTATCACTACTATTAAATTTCAGGTTAAAGGAAAATTCCATTTGGCGTTAGGATGTTGAATAGATTAAATTCTTTCATTCTAAGTTTTTATGTTGTCTGTTTTTTCCCCAAACCTTCATTAAATGTATTTTCCAATTGTTATTTTCATTTTGTTTTTTAGCTCACCAGAGCCAAAGGCTCAGGGTGAGCTATTAGTATCAAAGGGGGATGCTCCGGCATCCGGCGTCATGCATCAACATTCGTCTTCTTCTCTGAAACTACTAACCCGATTTACTTCAAATTTGGTCTGTAGCATCCTTGTATCAGTCACACTTGAATTTGCTCATGTCATTTCAATTGGCCCCTTTTAGGGTTCAACAGAGCTAAAAATAGAAAAAACTTCAAACATCTTCTTCTACAAAACTAATGGATGGATGATTACCAAACTCTGTCTGTAGCATTCTTGGGTAGTCTTGTATCAAGTTTGCTCATATTAATTTGATTGGCCCCTTTTAGGGGTCTCTAGGGCTAAAAATAGAAAAACCTTTAAACATCTTCTTCTACAGAACCAATGGATGGATGATCACCAAACTTTGTCTGTAGCATTCTTAGGTAGTCTTTATCAAGTTTGCTCATATTAATTTGATTAAAAAAAGCTAAAAATAGAAAAAGCCTCCGAACATCATTTCCTACTGAAATAATTGATAGATGATCACCAAACTTAGTAGCATTCTTAGGTAGTATTTTATTAAGTTTGCTCATATTAATTTGATTAGCCCCGTTTAAGCTAAAGCTTAAATGCCTCAGGTCATGGCATTTCTTCAAATTATTGTTTAAACATATTCTATGCTCAAATTTAATAGAATATATTGACATTCCAACACTGATAAGCAGTTGTTTCTGGTGAGCGACTCAGGGCCATCATGGCCCTCTTGTTTTTTGTTGTTTTTATTTCTAATTTTTACTTTTAAAGACTTTTAATCTTTCCGAAGTAGATTTTGAAAAGATGTTCTAAGTAATCCTTGTAATATCATTATCTCTTGTGATTAGATAGTATTGAATTATATGAGTGAGTCTGAGGCCTGCAACCAAAAACAATTCACCATTTAGAAGTTCAAAAGAATATAATTCACATTCACAATTTTTGCAGCAGATATTCACTTTAAAATGAGGTTTCTTTTCATTGTATAATAATGTTTGCTGTTAAAATGTGTATCATGATAATCTAAAGCTTGTATATCCAAATTTATAATAACTTGTTGAAAATAAGCATAGAAATTGTTTAACATCAACATGCTATAAACGTATATTTTA